TGAATAATGATCAAGGACAAAAATATAATTTCATACTAACAAAAATCTACCAATAATGAAAATTAAAGATTTTAGAAATATATTAAGTTATTGTTATTATCATTAACTTATTTTGTTATTACTTTACTTTTTTTTCTTTTATGAGTTATTGTGATATATATTTTATTATTAATCTATTTTACTATTGCTCTATTTTACTTTAGTTTAATTCTTCATATTTTTTCTATTCATTATGCTTATAAAAAATGCCTACTTTTTATATAAGACTTTATCATGAATTAATTATTGTCATCTTTATTTTGGTTCTAATTAATATACTTGTAAATAACTAAGTGTGATAAAATTAATAATAAATATTAGATTGAAATTAAAGAAAAAAAATGTTAAAAGTAACTTTACAAATAAAAATGAATAGGATTATATATTTATATTAAATACGACCAAGAATAAAAATGTAATTTCATCCTAACAAAAATCTATCAAGAATAAATAATTCTAGAAATATTTTTCTATATATAAAGTGAATGATGATCAAAGGTAAAAAAATGTAATTTCATTCAAATAAAAAATCTACCAAGAATGATAACAAGAAATTTAAATTCTTCTAGAAACATCTTTAGTTATTATTATTAGTATTACCTCATTTTTGTTATTTCTCCAGTTTTTATGAATTTGCGATATCTATTTATTATATGAAAGTAAATAAATTATGATTACAATTAGCTCTTAATAATTATATATCAAGTATAATATTAGGTGGAATCAATCAAAAATAAAATTAAAATTTATAGGTATATTTAAATTTTGTGTATTAAAATATTTTTAGATTATGAGTGATACTTGTGTTAATAATTTAGCACGGTATGGTGGATAGTGTAATGAGCCAATGACACACGCTTGGATTTAATTTTGCAAGTGTATTAAAGGAAGTAATAGGTAAGTGTGATATATATGATCGTATGTAGGGGTATAAAAAGAATATCAAAAATCTCCCGAACCAATCGAATAGAATAGTATCGAATTGTTGTATTATTATTAAATAAATATTTAATAAATTGTGGATTATTGTTTAAGTGTATACCGTGCCAAACAAATAGGATGACTTTTTCATTTTGTAAAAGAAAATCAAAAAAAAATCGAATCAAACAATCTTACATGTGTGCCAATATATTTATATATAAATATAAACAATTATATTATATATATATATATATATATATATAT